AGGAAGCATTAGGACCTTTAAATTCTAATAATTTAGAATAACAGTTCTCAAACATTTTGGTCTCAGGACTACTTTACATTTTAAAAAATGGTCCAGGACTTCAAATAGCTTTGGTTTATGTGGATTATATCTATTGATATTTACTCAATTAGTAATTAAAACTGGGAAATGTTAAAATCTTTGACTTTGCAGACTCCTTGAAAAGGTCTTGATAACCTGAAAATCACACTTGGAAAACCAATGGTTTAGACTAGGGGTCCCCAACCCCTGGTCCGTGGACCAGTACCGGGCCGTGGCATGCCAGCAACCAGTCTGCACAAACAAGGAAAGCCCCATCCACAGGATGCAGGCAGCACACAAAGCCATGCCCTCTCCCGGTCCGCGGAAAAACCTTTCACCATGTAACCAGTCCCTGGTGCCCCAAAAGTTGGGGACCTCTGGTTTAGACAAATTTGAACTGACTTAATTTATTTCTATTTTATACCCATTTTTTCTAGAGTTCAGAGTGCACACACATAGTGTACTCTTTCATTTTATTTTCATAGATAGGTTAAGCTAGTGAGTTGATGGATGAATGGGATTTGAATTCAAATTTACATGATGATAACCTAGTAGCCTTAACTGTACAACACAACATTGGATATAAATTTGTGTTTGTGATAGAAATGATGAAGATGCAAGATAGGTAACAGGAGAATCAAATATTTAAAAGTTGAACTAATGTTGAAATATTAAATACAAGATGGTCGTTATTCACTGTTCTCATAAGAGCTTAAATATATAAAAATAAACAGAGCAGTAATCTTAAAGTTTGTCTGAGTTCCATCATAGCAGTTATACCATTTAGAAAATATATCATGATTTGCATGCTGTTACAAAGCTTAATCTAATTTGCATTTCAATCTAATGCGCACATCACTTTCCATAGGCCTGGCCAGAATTTAGAAATATTTCATGACTCATCTATAATTTATTCTACAATGTTCCTATTCTAATGTGATTCTCTTCAATGACAAAGAGGCCCAATTCTTAAATAGTCTTTATTCCAAAAAAAGAAAAAGAAAGAAGGCTGAAATGAATTGCCTTTGGCCACATAGCACATGGTTTTCTTGTTTTTAAATAACAATAATCCCCACTTCTTACATCACCATCATTTCATTCTCTTGTGTTGATTACAACTTTTCCTCTTGCAGTTTTACTTAGAGTTTCAATGCTAAGGAATATAATGCTACCCTGTCAAAATAAAATCATCAAGTCGATTAAAACACACAGCAATGAACTTAACTGAATTTCAAAACTAAAACAAGTACTGAGTTTTACAGGGATGACAACTCATGTGGCATACAACGGTATTAGGTTTGTTTCCCTATTCGTGCTTTGTAAGAATATAGACCTCTTTGCCTAGACCAGGGGTAGGCAACCTTTGCTCTTTTATGACTCGTGAACTTCAACTCCCAGAATTCCTGAGCCAGCCATGCTGGCTCAGGAATTCTGGGAGTTGAAGTCCACGAGTCATAAAAGAGCCAAGGTTGCCTACCTCTGCCTAGACAGGGAGATTTTCTCACAAAAGCTCTTCTCTTTCCTCCCTCCTGCCCCCATACCCATACCCATCTCCTGATTTCAGCCCTTTCCAAAGGAAGATTTTACTTACTTCAGAATTATCCATACAGAATGGTAATTTGCTCTCCAGATATTTTTTTTTTCTCTTCTCCCTGTGTCGTAATTTGGTTAAAATAATTGTTCTTCCTCTTGCATACTTGGAATTAAAAGTGAAGACTGAATCCAAATTGCAATATGGAGAATGTACACTTTTAACCACACTAGTATTAAAGCTACATGGCAGTGACCTCTATTCAAATACAGATTTTTAAATTGAATTAATAAGTTCAGCCATGTTCTCTTTTTTTCATGGCAATTACCCTGAGAAAGGAGCTATGCTGAAGAACTGTATGCCATTCTTCAGGAAGACGTGGGTTGTATCCCTGATTTTTTTAACCAATGTTTGCATGTTCTCTTTCATTCCTTTCCCTTTTTCAAATCTGCTGTTGCCTACATAGAGTCATCATAAAGCTGACAAGTTGATTAAAAGTAAAGCAAGAGGTTGAGCTGAATTTCAAGTTAATAATTTTGGCCTTCGGCTGTAATAATAAATTGAATTGAAGTTTAATAATTATAATTAAGGTGCAAAAACCTTTAATTATGGACTGAAGAAGGCAAGCTTCTCATCCTCCCTCCCACTTGAGCTGCAGGAGGGATGGATGGATGGATGGATGGATGGATGGATGGATGGATTTAGCAAATACACATGGCTATCTGACTTAATCAAATTGTTCTGGGCAGCTAACTGTGCATACACACACACACACACACACACACACACACAAACACAAATAATCAACTCCAATCGTAATAACAACAACACAAAGCAAAGCACACAGTCTGGGTCCTATTGACCTCCTGGCCCTAAAGCCTGTGAGATCTGGATATTGCTAGTTTTTCCTGCAGATTTCCATTCCAAATGATGCTCTCTAGATCAGAGATCCCCAACCTTTTGGGCACCAGGAACCGGTTCCGTGGAGAGAAGTTTTTCCGCGGCCCGGAGGGTGCGTGGTTTTGTGTGCTGCCTCCATCCCACGGATGGGGCTTTGCTTGTTTTGTGAGGACCAGTTGCTGCCATGGCGTGGCCCAGTACTGGTCCACAGACCAGGGGTTAGGGACCCCTGCTCTAGATGACAGCCCATGGTTGCTCTCTTGATTAAAAATAATGGAATGGAATGGAATGTATAGCCTTTGGGAAACACAAGGTTTGAAAATAGTTATTTCTCGAATCCTTAAAGGAAATAAGTATATGATACTTCTTAATAAGTATATGATACTTCTTAATGCATCAGTAATTTCAGTCTGGGTTTGACACCAAAATGGCTTTGGTGCCTTAAAGGATGGTCTATGCTGAGAATAGGCAAGAAGAACGTCTTTTGAGCCGTGACCACTGTCCTTAAGATCTTTCCGGATTAAATGGCCCTTGATAGAAAAGGAATCCAATGAATGTTTCCAGCATCCATTAAGCCTTATACCCTGCTGTGCAATAGAGCTGTTTTGTCCCCACTGCCATTCTTTTTAATGCAGACAGGCAACCAAGCAAAGTCATGAAAATTTGGAATGAGTCATCAATGAGTAGATAACATTGTCCTCATTTTCTGCTTTTAAAGTGAGTCTGATGAAATCAGAAATGGTTGACTCAAACATATAAACTGCAGTTTAATCTGGACAAAGCAAACTATATTGATAATGGATGTTGTGTCTGACTTAGAACTTAATGTTAAGAGTTTTCTGGATAGAGCAGCTCTCAGCTTATGGAGTGTTCTTATATCTTAATTTCTCCGTGGAGGTTTAAATTATTTCCACAACAGATTGCAGTTTTCCATATTCATGGGGGTTACGTGTCAACACTTTGAAAATATGAAATTCAACGTAAATATATACTCTTGCCCAGTTACCCCCAGTTGTTGTCTATGCATGCACAAACACACATATGCCTAAAGTCAAGCTAGAGTAACTTGATGCAGATATGCAACTCACACCAAGATCATAAGCCATCCTACGCAGATGGCCCTCTCTGTGAGACTAAAGATGTATTTGCTTCACCATCACTCAGAGTGAATGAAGCAAGTAGCAACCAGATTTTTAGTATGATAAATTTCATAACTGCCACCATGAAAAGCCAAATCTACCAACATAAATCTTGCAAATATGGAGAGTCACCTGTTTATTTTGTACCGGTTTAAATTATGATCTGGCTGTGATCCCTCTCTAACATGAGATTGTCATGCCATGGTTAATTATACTATTTTTATAACACTGCATATGGAATTGCTTTGGAAGATTACTCAACTCTTATATTATCACCATATAATCAATGTGGGCTGGGTTTGTGAGATAACAATTATGTAAGTACTGTAATTATACCTTCCTAGCCTTTAAGTTACAGGAACTCATGCAGATTTGCAATAATTTTTAGACCATCAAGTTCATGAAGTTAAGATTGGATTAAGTAGGAAATAAGAGCTTTCCAAAGAAGTATATGCAAACATACAGATTTCATTCTGATATGCAGCAATCTTACTTATCAAAAGGCATATATGTATGTAACATATGGTGTCTTGGTTCAGCATATAGCAAATATCCACTTTTATAGGTGGCATTATGAGACCTAAATGTGATAGCTAAAAACACAAACATAAGGAGCAAAAATTCAAAAATCAAACCAGTCAAACCAGTTTTTATTTATCAGTCTTATTTGTTTACAACACTGTATGTTGTTAACATGTACAACTATATACAGATATGTGCATACATATAATAAGATATTAGAATATTATTCTGCATGTACATACTGCTCACACCCACTCACCCACTGCACACACAGAGTAGAAAACATTTATTCCAGGACGCTGTATTTTTCCGAAGCTTCATTTTTAATTTGCAAAAGAGCTGAGATCTAGATAAAGGATGTATAAAATAATGGCCTCCCAGCAACTTCTAAACTGTTCTGTGATATTAGGCTTTTCATTTATTTGGGAATCGGCGCACATCAGCAATATGATGCACTATATATTATTGAAATACACTGATACAGCCTTTAAGCCTCTTGATGGTTACTGGAAATACAAAGAAATGAAGTATAGTGAAGCAGGCTGTTGCATTTCTTAATTGCTGCAGGTAGAAGTTACAGCATTTTTTTAATTCTTGCCTCATTAGGGAGTCAGCATCAACAAGGTAAGTGAAAACTGACGATTCAGTTTTCTTGAACAACAGAAGATGATTGCCAGTTACTGAAAGACTGTAGAGGGGTTTTACAGTTCACAAAGTTTTTGAAGAACGAACAGAATGTGAACTGGCTAATGTGATTTTATATTATCCTACGTCTTTTATATGGTGTCTTCTTGTATGGTTTTAGTGTAATTTTAAAAAAAATAAAATCTCTTTATTTTCTTCTAAAGGGTCGTGATTACTGTTCAGAAGAAGAGGATATCACATAATGCCAGTTCTGCCAATCGAAACAGGAATACTCCTGTGTAAATAGATTACGGTTCAATCCAGATCTTTTGGGGGAGTCTTCTCAAGTGAACAGCACTACATAACGAACAGTTATTTCCACATTGTATGCTCCATTCAGTTACAGTGTTTTCTTAATGACCATACAGTGAGCATGGTTCAAAGAAAGAAGAACGGCTTCTATGGAACTGCCTTTGCTGCTGCTAATTGAAACCTGTTGCAAGTTTTCATTTCCTCATGCCCAGGAACACCACAGACGTTTGACTTAAACATCTGAAAGACACTGTAGCTTTCACTTGGGCTGTTGGCCTGTTTTCTATTGGCTGAGGTGGCGTTGTACAAAATCTTCCATAACCAAGCAGCAGAATCTTCCAGTTCACCCTACTTACTCATCAGCCCATACTCAAATGGGGCATGGAGTTCTTGTTATACTGACAGTTTAGAGCTTTGGAAAATGGGATGCTTTGCCATGATGGACTTTGTTTTCTGCTAGGAAGAAGTTAACAAACAAAAAGCATGTTATCATACAGATACTGAATGTGGTGATGCAGGAACAGAAATCTGTATTTTTTTTTTAAAAAAGCCACCAGTTTCTTTTATTAACTATTTTAATCAAGGAATATACTTGCAATATTGGCTTTGCTGACCACAGATGGAAATTATGATCACAATCAGTTTGAATCCCTCCCTCTCTCTCTCTCCTCACTTTTTTAAAAGAAATAAACATTTTACTGTTTTTAGGTATTCTTGTCTTATACCCATTCATACATACCAGTGTGTTAAGAATAATTGGGAAAAGGGAGTTGGTAAAGGAGACCTTTAGAAAGATGATTTGAAAGGATATTATTTTCAAATGCTATGTGCCAATTTGAGATGTCTGTAGAGTTTATTTTTCCATAATATAAAAGTTGATACTCTCTCTTCTCAAAGGCAGATGTAATATTTTTAACAAATATTGTCATGAGTAAAAATGATCCTAAGGTTAAAAAAAGAATTTTTGCATTTATTTTTTTTAAATACATTATAACTTAACTATTTTATGAGCTTGGTAACAGATTCTGTCCTGTGACTTTGTGGAACATAATCATAAAGGAAAATGCAGCTGGCAGCAATGGAGGCTGATGTTTTTTATTTTAAAAAATCTCTCATTTGCCTAATTAGGACCTCATGATGGCAATCCATCAATAAAGAAAGCACATGGTAGAATTGTCAATGGGATTTGTAATATAATTAACATTTTATCCCATGGGAATGCATATAGGATCATATGTCCAACTAATTGAAGGGAGCTTGCTAAAGGGGCTTTCATCATATTTTCTCTTAAAATATAAGTGGTCCTCTATCTGCCATTAACTCAGTTGCAGCAAGTGAAGGATGTCAAGATCTTATTCTTTGACGTAACAGATGATTATTCAAAGGTATGTAGATTTTGAGTCATCCAACTTCCAAGTAACCACAACAATGAAACATTGCCTCCCAAAGATTTTGAAGTATAATAACCTCTCAGGTATTCATCTGTTGAATGATTCTTCAAGTATTTGGTGAGAGAAGGCAACAACACTGTTTCAAATCATGAAAAAACAGATACTTATGGTGGAATTGGTTCATTCCTTCTCTTTGTCCATTATCACTAGCTTTTTTTAAAAAAAAATCTCTTCCATATTTACTCTTAAGTTCTGCAAAGAATTCTTTTCCTAAGTGTCTTGCTTCCCCATTTCCCTTTATAATTTTCAGTTCTCTTGGTTTAATTGGCTTTTCTTTGTAATGTGTATGAATACACTGTTTGGAAAGGATGGTTTGGATTTTCATAGTCCACCCCTGTGTAACTTTCCTTAACTGATTGTACTACTAGAAGCCTTTCCCACACCCACTTACATAGTTTCGATTCAATCAGTTTCTCAGTTTCTCTTCTAACTGATGTACAGCATGTATAGAATGTTTTTTCATAACCTTTTCTCCACTTGATGGGCTTCTGTTATGGTTTTTGTTACAAGTCCTGATCAATTTCAGAGCCCATAGTTACTGAAATTTTTCTTAAATTGATCCAGTGGTGGGATCAAAAATCCCTTCCACAAGACATCCCAAATGTGTATTTTGCTTAGGCAAAGGGCATTGAATGGGCTCAGGGGCCAGTTGTCAAAACGTTGTGTGGTAGTTTCATTGGAATTGATTGTGCTTGGCTTCAAAAGACTCTCATTCCATCTGATATCAATGTAGACCTCATTGTGCTTCACAAAACACTTGATGCCCAGACTTCACAGACTGAGGTAGGTGCAGTATCAGTTACACCACGGGTGTCAAACTCGATCGCAGCATGTGATGTATCATGATGTATCGTGACAATTTTGCCTTTCCGGAGCTGGGATGGGTGTGGTCTGCATGTGACGTATCCGGCCCGTGGGTCATCAGTTTGACACCCCTGAGTTACACCTTATCTACAAAGCCATTGACATCTGTTAGGCATTTTCACTCCAGCACCAGTGTCTAAAGAACACAAATCAGAAGTGTTCCCAAAACAAGACAGTTTGGAACATTGTCACCTTACAGGGGAGATAGGCAGCATAAAAACGTAATAAATAATTATGGGAAGAAGCTATCTAAACATTCAGCTTCATAATCAATGGCTCCATATAGGCTGACCAGATGGTAAGCATTACCAGGGTTGACAGAACTAGACAGGTGACTCCATGTCTAGCTCGTAACTCATTGCAACTTATTGTAATATTTTTACTTGCATTTCTCTCAATGCAATGTTATGCAACAGTCTTAACTTCACATGATTCTAGCCTTCCAATCACTGATTAGTAGTGCACAGAGGAATGGATCTCTCCTCAATATTTTCATTCTTGCTCCCTGCCAAATTGAAGATGATACAGGTATAATTGGCTACTATAAACTCAATATCATTATGAGTCCAATCCAGGCTTTTAATTATATATAAATATGGATTGGACTATATATAGTCCAATCCATATTTTAATTATATACTTAAAATTAAAGTACTTGGAAAAATTATTCTGTAATTTATGCTAGCTTAGTATTCATGCTATTTATTAAAACAGCCAGGTTTCCAGAAATAGACACAGCTGTTTTAATGAATTGACTCAGTAAAACTAGATTGTTAAAGCAATTCCAAAGCAGCTATAGCTTCAGGTTGGTGAGGAATTACTGCTTTAATGAATAGCAAAGAAGGGCTGTGTTTGTGCAAGTTTTTGTAAAACACTTCTGAATCATTTTCAAACTCTGCAAAGACCTAATTCCTGCGGCAAATTTTGACAATGATTCATGTCCTATGATTTTTATAATATCTTCACCATATAGTTCCTACTCTTGGTTAAGCAATTCTGATTTATACCTGCCAGCAAGGTGCATCTATATAAAAATTCAGCTGTCAACTACTTCAGGGACTGTCACTTTAACTTCTGGCAAAGGTCCTGGATTTAAAGGACTATGTTTCTGATTATGAAGTACATAACATTTTCTGTTTCATTAGATCTAACCATCAGATATCCTCCTTTGTTTCTGAGAATTAATGGCTTCATCCACAACAAGTAACCTATGTGACTAAGACTCCTGGTTTCACAATGAAGTAACATATCATGGCTCAGGACTCAGATTCTAAATCCTAATCTGATCCTAAAGAAGCTGCTCCAGTTGAGTTTGGAATGTCAGCCTCCAGAAGGACAAAGCCAGGAATCATAGGAGGCTGAACAGCTGGAAAAGTCAGGTGAAAGTGATATAAGGCCTTCCAGTCCCTACACCAGACAAGTAGAGAAGAGAACAGAACAGTTATGGTCTAATACGCTCCTCACCAAGTCAAAAAGTAAACCTTCTGATTATTAACAGCTGGCTGCAGCCTTATTTAAGAAATATTTCTGAGTTGGCTCTCTTTGCTGGAAACAATATCTGACTTCAGCTCAGGTGTGGCATTTGTGTGTGTAGATTCTACTCTTGAACGTCTGAGTTTTGGACCTGCCGACAACCTTGCCCTGTCTCTCTGAAATCTGGATGAACTTCTATGCACTTCTGTTTCAAAAGAAACAGAAGGCATGGTTTGGATTGCTCAAGGACAGGCTGTTCGAACTCATGCAGTCCAGCCCAGAACTGAAAAATCTTCAACTGATTCAAAGTGCTGATTGTACAAAGAGGCAGAAGAAATAATGGATCATATACTCAGCTTGTGCAAGAAGATCACACAAACTGATTGCAGAATAGAAGATGAGAAAAAAATTGGAGATCACAAAGATCCGAAAGCAAGTTAAAAGGGTATAGCATAAACAGGTTGTGATGGTCCTACAGTGGTTATCAGCAACTGAGTGCCATACCAAAAAATCTTGGATGCCCCTTGGAACATTTGTATATTGCCATCTTTCAGTTACAAAGGCCACAATGCTTTGATCTGCACATTTACTATGCCAATGCATTATGACATCCAAGATTCTTGGGAAGAACTTGATGCATATGAAGGCCAACAACAACTAAAGAATTGGCAGTTGTGATTTCACATTGTTGAGTACATAATGACCCTAAATCTTGCAGACTGTGTGACCAGCCATAATAATAATGCCTTTATTGTTATTAAACATCTGCCTATTCCAAGTCCAAGGGAAGATAGGTGGACAAAAGTGCCAATCCCATTCTAAATATCTGACTGACAGTGTGACCAATCATAATATATTAAATTTATATGCTGCTCATCTCTCAATGATGCTGGGCTGCTTGCAATAATCAAATAAAAAGCACAGATGACCACTGAAATTATCAGTTGCAAATAAGCATCAAGCTGTCACATCTTTGCATGTTGGCTTTAAAAACCCAAAGCTTATATAAATATGAATGTCATCTGAGTTTCAGTAATAGATCAGGAAAAGGGAGATATAAAGAATAACTGAATGAAGCAGCATGCATTTGTTTACTTTTTTAAAAAAAATGGCAAAAATAAAACTGTCAATATAGAAATGCCATCCTATGAATCTATGACAGAACTGCACTTAGAATGCTAGGCTGTTTCAAAAAGTATATTGCAAGTCTAAAAAAGGTACAGGAAGAGGGGCAGTGAAAACCACTGCAGCTTCCCTACAGGGAACAACTGCAGTAGTGGGAAGATCAGTATATATAAACTCACACATGATAGAAGTATATAAAATCAGGTATAGTAAACAGAATGAGGATAGAACAATTTTTCTCACATTAGAAGTGTAGACCACCTAATGAAACTACAGCCAATTTTGGTCACCATATCACAAAAAAGATGTTGAGAGTTTGGGAAAAATTCAGAGAAGAGCAACTAAGATGATCAAAGGCCTGGAGACTAAAACATACGAAGAACAGCTGCAGGACTTGGGTCTGGTTAATCTAAAGAAAAGAAGAAATAGGGGAGACATGATAGCAGTATTCCAGTACTTGAGGGGCTGCCACCAAGAAGAGGGGGTCAAATTATTCTCCAAAGCACCAGAAGGCAGGACAAGAAACAATGGTTGGAAACTGATCGAAGAGAGAAGCAACGTGAAATTAAGGAGAAAGTTCTTGACAGTGAGGACAATTAATCAGTGGAACAGCTTGCCTCCAGAAATCGTGGGTGCTCCATCACTGGAGATTTTTAAGAAGAGGCTAGACAGTCACTTGTCTGAGATGGTATAGGACTATAGGTTCTCCTGCTTCAGCGGGGGGCTGGACTAGAAGACCTCCAAGGTCCCTTCCAGCTTCTATTCTATTCTATTCTATTCTATTCTGTTGTAATACAGGAAAATAAGGGCCAATGAAGAATTTTTTAAAACAAAATGGTTAGCTAAACTGCAGTTTGCTGCCATTGCTGTAATTATCATCAGATTAGAAAGTTTTCAAAGAAGACTAGACAAATCAATGGAGGAATGAACAAATACCAGTTGGTAACATATTGTTTCCTAAACCACAGGTGGTTTCTACTTTACAGAAGGACACTTTGGTCCATGAGTTTCCTAAGTGCAAATGGTTTGGCCATCATGGGATACAAGGTGCTGGAATAAATAGGTCCTTGGCCTCATCTGGCAGGGCTCCCAATCT